ATATATATATATATATATATATATATATATATACACTTTGGAAAATACCACGCAGTGAACACAGTGTGAAAATCTATGTGTTCACATAGTGTACACATACTGCACCACAGTGTGTGCACTGTGTGTTGACAGTGTGTACACTGTGTGTTTACAGTGTGTAAACTGTGTGAATAACTCATTGACTATATGAAATTGGTGAGGTTTTCACACTGTGAACTGTGTGAAACACAGTGTTTACACACAGTCACCACAAAATAAACACACTATCCCCATAGTGTAGCCACACAATTAACACACTGTCCCTACACAGTGAGCATAGTGTTTCCATAGTGTAACCACACAATAAACACAGTGTGTTTACAGTGTGTTCACTCTGTGGACTATGTGAAATTGGTGAGGTTTTCACAGTGTGAACACGGTAAACACATTGTTGTCACAAATTACTAACATTCAGTAAACACAGTGTTAACACACTGTTAGCACACTGTTCCCATAGTGTATCACACTGCACAAACTATTTCCATATTGTCACTAAACACAGTGTCCTTATAGAGTAAACATAGTGTCACCCCACAAAAACACTGTGTGTTTACTCTTTTGACTATGTGAAATTGGTGTGGTTTTCACAGTAAACACATTGTTGTCATATCTTGCCAACATAAAGTAAACACAGTGTTAACACATAATATTATTGATTATGTGTTATTGGTGAAGATTACACAAAACTGTTTGTTCTACAGAGATTAAGTGTCACCACGCAGTAAAGCCATCACATGCACAATTTCAAAGTTCTCACCTTCATCCTGCAAAGTACAACAAAAATATAATATTAACAGTTTTAAAATTGATAAAATAAACATTTATCAAACTAACTTGTAAGTACATATATAATCACTTTTATAAGATTATTGCATAATAGTCAGACGAATTATGTATGTGTTATAACATTTTTTAAGTTAAAAACATACGTTAGTCAAATGTGTACAGTAACTGCTTCACACTAAAGGTATTGTTTTGCTTAAAATTAGTCAAGGATTTTAATAGTTGTTAAGTTAATGTAGCAATGAGTTTACAATTTACTCTGTTGACTATGTGAAATTGGTGAGGTTTTCACAGTAAACACATCGTTGTCATATCTTGCCAACATAAAGTAAACACAGTGTTAACACATAATATTATTGATTATGTGTTATTGGTGAAGATTACACAAAACTGTTTGTTCTACAGAGATTCAGTGTCACCACGCAGTAAAGCCATCACATGCACAATCTCAAAGTTTTCACCTTCATCCTGCAAAGTACAACAAAAATAAAATATTAACAGTTTTAAAATTGATAAAATAAATATTTATCAAACTAACTTTTAAGTACATATATAAGAACTTTTATAAGATTATTGCATAATAGTCAGACGAATTATGTATGTGTTATAACATTTTTTTAAGTTAAAAACATACGTTAGTCAAATGTGTACAGTAACTGCTTCACACTAAAGGTATTGTTTTGCTTAAAATTAGTCAAGGATTTTAATAGTTGTTAAGTTAATGTAGCAATGAGTTTACAATTTCTTAAATTCTTTTTATGGCATATAGACGAACAGTTACTTAGATTGTAAAGCATGCTGCAGCTCATATGTAGGACATGAAATAAAAATTTAATTACAACATTTTGTTAAGTTACCTTTAGCAAAGATAATTACAATTAAAAATTAAAATTAAAAAATTAATGCACATTAAGTGCCTGTTGTTAAACATTAGCTGTTGTATCCATTCCCTTTGACATGGAGCTCCTTGTATCTTCACATATTTTAGTCATCTTGGTTTTTACAGCTGTTGACTGGATATCTGGGTATTCTGAAATTATATAAAAAAATATTGTCACAAACTTCAAAAATATGAAAAGTAGGCCTATCTATGAGAATTACATTGTTCTTATAAATTTCTAGGTTCGAGTAGAATACTGTATATGCAGTAATAATTTTGAAATTGACATGTTCCCGAAAGACAATTAGATTCATAAATTGTGAACTTTAAATGCTAAACCCTGAGTACACCATGAGACTCACGTCATCATGACAATACAAACTTGAGTAGTGACATGTAATAGCAAGTATCACGCAACATAATGCTGCAATAACAGTGGTCTGCTAGTTTCATTATTTTAATGGTGTTAATGTGGGACTGTAGGTTTCATTATTGCTGACAATACTGTATTCTAATGTTTAATGTGTAGAAATGAAACATTAATTTACTTAATGTAATTGATTCGTGGAGCAATGAGGTATACATAAACTTTTTAACGGTCTTGAGACAAATGTCAAATTTTGTTTACAACTGTTGAATAGTACATTGCTTGTATTTTTAGTAATTCAACATGGTAATATTAACTCATTCTAAAATCAACGGTCGTAAAGCAGACAATTATTATAATGCAATTTACTTACTGTAATACATTTGCTGTTGTCTTAAATTAAAACACAAATGGATTATTTAAATCTCAAAAAAAAAATAAATAGAAAATTAACTTACCAACTATTGCAGATACTGTATAATTTTTGTTTGTCATTGCAGCACATACCAGTCTACTTGCATGTTGGCTTTTTTAAAGATGCAAAATAGTCCTTTGCAATTCATATAGCAAGGCATACATAGAATGTACAGTGCTAGCTAATGTTCAGTAGGTATTTATGCTATATTACTAGGAATAGGCTAGCAGTACTGTTTTAGGAAGGCTAATCTAGCCTAAAACAACTTTAATTGTTGGTGCAAATAATATGTATTTCAATTCTTACCAAATGAAGATAAAATTTTGGGTTTTGTTTTTATACATTTAGACTATGGTACATACCAAAAGATTTAATAATAAAAAAAATAATAATAATAAATAAATAAAAACGAATTAAAAAGCGTAATTGCCCGTCATAATCATTAATTCCACAGTCGAGTTAACGGCCGTTTCAACCAGACCATTAGGAGGTCAAGCCTAGGCCTAGGTCAAACGGTCGTAGCCTAAGAAGGCCTCCTAGCCCGAGTTTATTTTTCTGTTTATTTAAGTAGTGGGTGGGTTATGGATTGGAACACTGATTGTAAAGCTCCTGTCATACTGTAGCGTATAGAACCAACGTATGCCGACGTTTATCAAAATATTGGTTTACGTTCGCGTAAGTTGACATTCGTTCGCGACACGTTCGTAATACGTTTGGCATACGTTGTATTCGTTAGCTGTTCGTTGGGGTACGCTGGGGTCGATTTAAATTTTTGGACATGTTCAATATTTTGAACGTATGACAACGTTCTGCTACAAACGCTATGTATACGGTGAGCATTCGTTGTTTGAACGTTTCGCACGTTGGGTTTACGTTTTCTGTCCGTCCGTTGTTCGTCCAAACACGTTCAATCCCATCTGAAACGTTGCCATAACAAATGCATAACGTATTCATAGCGTTTGTCTAACTAATGAGTAACGAATGGCCAGCGAACCGACCTACATCAACGTTTACTAGGCGTCAATACGTTAGGCATACGTGTGACATTCGCCGGGCATTCGTTGTGTACGCTGAACATTCGTTGTGTACGCTGAACATTCGTTGGGCGAACGCTGCGAATGCGCTGTCATTTGTTAAATGGACGCTAGTTGTACGATGAGCATTCGTTGGGCGTTTGTCTTTCACGCAAAAATGTTATTTTTTTGCCAAAACAATTGAGCGTATTTGGGCGTATTGGGACTTTAAAATAAAATTAGAACGCTCGGCATACGTTAGTCTGTTCGCTACTATGTGACAGGGCCTTAAGTACCAGCAGCAGGCCTATGGACAACCTAGCTAAAATGAATTTATTCAAAGTGTATAAATTATAAGAAAAATGCAATTTCGAATTACCTATATGAATAGAATCGACAACACTTGAATACAGTACGCCATTCAGACATTTTTTCTTGGAGGGTTCTTGTTAACTTTGGGTCTCCATATTCTCCATCTCAATATTTCGGTTGTCCTCGAACCTTATTTTATCTCTGGAACCATTGAATCGTCCAGGATATTTGTCTCATTTGTCTCCGTCCAGTTGAGTAGAACCCATGCACATTTTCGGTTTGCGAAATTAATTTAACGAATCCAATTTAACACAACGCTAGCTGTAATCGACGATGAAACAATGAATCCCCGCTTGAATTTGAAATATGAACTTCCCTCTTCCTCACACCATCCTGGTGCAACCAGTGATCGGGCAGGACGAGCTGCATGTGACCTGATTTTCCAACGTTTCTACCATGACCCCCCTAGGGTTTCATAAAGGATAGTGGCAAGACTGTGATCACTATGTAGGGATAATACGATTTTATCCTAGTAATACCAGGTAGATGTACTGAAAAACTATTTTTTTACATCTTCCTGTAATACTGTGATAAACTGCGAGGTAACTATAATATAGGCCTAT